TCTCTCTCTCTCTCTCTCTCTCTCTCTCTCTCTCTCTCTCTCTCTCTCTGTGTGTGTGTGTGTGTGTGTGTGTGTGTGTGTGTGTGTGTGTGTAGTGCCAACCATGGTGGAGATAAGAGGCTAGAGTTATACTAGAGCTGCATTTTCTCATGGCTATTGTGGTGGGTGTCCTTAACCATCATCTGCATCTGCTCAGGAGTCCATCTAAAGGGTGGGAAAACGTAACACTTAGATTGCTAGGCTCTGTGAGTTTCTTGGAATGGCTGGACTTTGGGGGACGCCTATAATGATGGAATCTTATAAGAATAGGGGGTACCTATAATCTGGGATACTCAAAATGGGGGAGGGGTGCGCCAGGAAGAAATTACGAGAGTGGAAGGTTGGGAGGGAGTCTCATAAGAATGGGGGGCCTCTACAGACCATCTGGATAACCACATGGCCGATTGCCGAAGGTGACTGTCATATGTCTAAAATCCAACCTCTACAACAACCTGGGCTTAAAAAAAAAAAAAAAAAAAAGAACTTTAAAAAAGGGTTAAAACTTAAAATTAAAAAATGCTTTGTGGTTAGGCCTAGCGTTCAGCCACGGGTCAGCTCCCCATTGTAAGCGTCCCCCAAAGTCCAGCCATTACAAGAAACTCCCTGAGCTTAGCAACCTACGTATTATGTTTTAGGGTTAACCCCCCGATACTTGCACCAGCCATTCTTTTCAAGCTGGGTCGTATACGCTCCGTGATCTTCGGGGGTAGAGGCCACTGTTGGTGAATTTCATCAATGGGCACTAACCCCCCCCCCCCCCTTCCCCCCGAAGGTTATGGAACCTTATAACAGTGGGGGTTACGATGGGGGACGCTTATATCGGGGGGCACTTACATTGGTTTGTGGTTGAGAGGTACACCGGAAGAGAAAACGAAGATATTAACAATCACGAGTTTTCTGTAGCCTCTGACATCATTGTATCTAATCAGGATTTGAGTTTTCTGTTTTGGTTTGATATTTTTGAAGCAGGGGTAGCCTCTGACATCATTGTATCTAATCAGGATCTGAGCTCATCATCTGTTTATCGACAGGTGCATGTGTGTACCGTTCAGCCACAGAGGTTGGGTATTAAGTGGAGTTGGTTATTAGAGAAGAACTCGGTGCTCTTTTTCACGTGCCTGGACGGCTGTTGACAGCTATGGATGGCCCCTTAAAGGTGAGGGGCTGCATACACACTCCAAGTGTGTGATGACAAATTGAGTTTGGGAGGAGGTGCTTTGGGCACTGGAGATGTTTTGGGGGCTGAAATTAGGTGGTGACGAGGGTGTTTCGCTCATTGTGTCACTGAGTAGCAGACATTTCTGCTCTGTCTGACATGATTGAGTGTGTGGGTAAGTAAAACCTTTCTCATCTCTATATGATGCGATGCCAGTAGTTTAGGGGGTTGCACATTCAACATATAGGTACAGAGTCTACAGACTTTGACGTTATTGCCAAAATACTCCGACAAATCGCAACGACAATCCATACGGCGAAAAGAGTGCAGAGATGACTCTCTTGACTCTCTGCGGCGGAGACTGAAGGCACTCTCTCGGTCGCAAATTGCAACGGCAATCCATACGGTGAAAGGAGTGCAGGTATGACTCTCTTAACTCTCTGCGGCGGAGACTGAAGGCTCTCTCTCTCTCAGTCGGCGGAAACAGGAGAAGGTGCAAGATGAGGGCTTGTCGACTGCAACTTGCATGTGACAAGATTCAAACTCTTGACCTGTTTTTCAGCTGTCGAAACTGAAGGCTCTGAATGGACAAAAAAGCAGGTGCAGCACGAAGGGTTGTCTATTTTGACTTGTCTCTGGCGGGATTTGAACTCGTTATCTGTTTATTAAACTTTATTCGCAATTTCACAGTTACAAGCGCCATGTACAATTTGGCCACCAGGCAAATGTGCAGTCAATGGCAGTAATATTATTATTGTGACTTTAAGGAGGTGGTCATTCATGAGGGCATCATCTCCAGTGTCTTTTTTTTTTTTTTTCCCCATCGTCTTAGTTTTTGTTTTCGCAATGATTTTGTAGACTGTGTCGGATTCCAAGTTGCAATTGACAGACAAGTTTGTGACGTTTTCATTTTAGCGGCGGATATATAGGGTTCACCGTTTCAACAACTTACAACTTACCTGTGTGTACCATTCGTCCAACAGTAAGAATGAAATAGAACATCTAGCTGTACAGAATGCCATTAATTATTATTATGACATTTGGTTCCGGCAACCACTTGCCAAAGTGGCGCTTTGTGGTGATTGCAGTTTGTTGTGTGTGTTGTCATGTTTGCTGTGCACAACTCCACAAAGCAAGCATGACTGTGCCAGACTATTTCATCGGACTTTCACCGACTCATCTGTGTATGTGTGTTGTCTGTTCACTACACAACTGGGCCACACTGTTTTGTTAGACTTTTACTGACTCAGCTGCACGTGACTGTTTTGTTGGACTTTTACCGACTTAGCTGCACGTGCGCATGCGCACGTGTGTGCATATGTGTGTGTGTGTGTGTGTGTGTGTGTGTGTGTGTGTGTGTGTGTGTGTGTGTGCG